TCTTATTTCCCTTCTAAGCATATGTTGTACAACATAGTAGGAAGCTCCTTACAAAACAGGAAGAGAGGCAACAAAAATGGCCTCCCACATAGGAAGGGAAAGCTAAACACATGTGCTGTCAGTGTAAGCGAGACGTGTGCATGGAACATGCAATTGTCATGTATGACAACTGCCTTGGGAGTGACACTTAAAGCAGATTATTTCTGTGGTAGACTTTTGTTTGTGTTTACATTGTAGTTCACATAAGTTTTCTTTTCTTTCTTTTTTTTTTTTTTGGTACTGGGGATTGAACTCGGCTCTTTGCGCTTGCGCAGCAGGCAGCCAAACCACTGAGCTAAATCCCTGGCCCATAGGTTTTATTTTCTGATGTTATCTTTTAGGTTTGTAAACAAGTAAACAGCTGATATGAAAATGTTGTCTATTCTAAGCACTCATTACATATTTGATATTTAATTTTATTGATATCTTATTTTCCTGCTAACTGCATGTTGTACAATATACTAGGAAGCTCCTAACAAAACAGGAAGAGAAGTGACAAGACTGCCACATAGAAAGGAAAGCTAAGGACATATGCTGTCAGTGTGAGACATGTGGATGGAACATCCAGTTGTCATGTGTGAAGACTGCCTTGGGTTTGACAATTGAAGCAAAGCTCATTTTTGTTGTAGAGTTTTACTGGTATTTTCATATAGGCATTTATTTCTGATGTTATCTTTTAGGTTTTGTAAGCAAGTACACAGCTGATGTGAAAATGTTGATTCTATTCTAAATGCACAATACATATTAAGAACTTAATACCTTATTTTATTTATATTTTATGTTCCTGTTAACTATACACTGTAAAATAAGAAATTTCTGACAAAACAGCAAGACCAGTGAGATGTCAAGTATGTCCTACAAAAAGGCCAGAAAAGCAAAACACATGTGCTTTTAGTGTAAGCGATATGTATGTATAGAATGTACTGTTATCATGTGTGCAGACTGCCTTAGGTGTGATAATTGAAGTAAAAGTTACTTTTTTGTAAAGTGCTATTTGTATTTTTGCTGTAGTTCATATAAGAATTTATTTGTGGGCTGGAGATTTAGCTCAGTGGTTCCGCCACCTGTCTGGAAAGCACAAGGACCCAAGTTCGATCCCCGGTACCAAAAAAAAAAAAAGAATTTATTTGTGTTGTTCTTTTTTAGACTTTGTACACCAAAAAAGTCAACGTTGAAAATTTTGCTTTTTTTATAAACTCAATAAATATATACATTTTTTTGGTACCAGGGTTCAAACTCAGGTCCTTGCACTTGCAAAGCAGGCGGTAAACTCAATAAATATTAAAAATTCAATACTTTTTATTTTTTCTTGTTAAGTACTCATTGTTTAATAAAACTTATAAAATTAAAATTAATAATTCATCAATAGAAGTATTTTTAAAGAACAAACATGGGTCTGACAGACCCACATTTATGCGCCTTTATGAGAAAATTAGTCTTATGCTCCATGGCAGGTATTCTGTCCCGGTGACAGAAAAATTGACTAATATACAAGTTACAGAAAAACATGGGAGGAAAGGAAGTAGCCCATTTCATAAGCCATAAATTAAGAAATTTATTAGGAAAACCATAAATTTTGAGCAGTATATATACAGAAAAATGTTGGAAGCATAAATAGCAAAATATTAACAGTGGTAATTTTTAGAAAATGAAATTGGAAGAAGTTTAACTTTATTTTTATGTTACCTAGTTTTAAAATGAATGCAAATTATTTTTGATATTCTATAAGAATTCTTGTCTTCATTTTGATTTTCTACTTTAAAAAGTTTTAATGAAGATTTCACATTGTATTTTTACTTTACTATATTTTGATTAGTTTAGCATATTTCTCTATTTAATGCTGTCCCTATAAATTCTCTTTGCATTATCTGTATCACTAACAGAAATGTAAGCCACATATGTACTTTTAAATTTCCTAGTAGCTATATTAAAAAAGGCAACAGATGAATGGATTTTAATAATATATATATAGTTTTGGAGACAAGATCTCCTGAGAGAGTTCAGGCTAGCTACTCCACACCCAAAGTAAAAAGGGGAAAGGTTTATTTGGCTTATAGTTCATACAGGTTTCAGTCCATAATCGGCTGGTTCCAAGGCAGGGTGGCAACATTCATGGCACAGAAGACAGCAAAAGCAACAAGATACCTTAACAGCATCTTTCTGCCCCTTTTATCTTATTCAGACTACTTTGGGCCAGCAGCACTCAAGCCCTTAATCCTAGTGCCCTTGGGCCTAGACTCACCTTGAATCAATCACACAGATTCAGACACCTCTGAATAAGCCTGAGGCTTTAGGGGGACATCTAATCACAAGCTACAATACCCAGGCTGGACTTGAAGTCATGATTTTCCTGCCTCAGCCTCCCAAGTGCTGGAATTATGGGCATATACCACTATACCTGGCCTTATATTCTTATTTTCTCTAAGTTTTCAAATTCTGGTGCGTATTTTATACTAATAAGCACATCTCAATTTAAACAGTAGCTATTCATTAGAAAATATCTGATCTGTATTTTGATTGCATAAAATTTACACTTAAATGATTTGGTATCAGATTTTAAATTAAGTTTAAAATAATTAAAATTAAATAAAATGAAAATTCAGTTTATTAGTCAGATGCTCACAAGCCACAGGTGACTGGCAGCTACCAACGATAATGATCTTGTAGATTTCTATATGTTACTATTTCTTTTCATTTTTTAATCACTTATATGTGAAACCTGTATACTTTACCTTTGCCTCAGTTATGCCTCATAGTCCACTGGCCAATATGATTTTGTGCCAGTGCCACAGTAATCATTGACAAAATGTTCATTATCTGGGAGAAACTGCAGGTTCTTTTATCCCTATCCCCCATTATTTTTTTCTTGGTCAATCTTTCTTTCTTTTTTTTTTTTTTTGGTACCAGGGATTGAACTCAGGACCTTGCACTTGCGAGGCAGGCACCGGAACCATCCCTTTAATGTATATTTTAAATTGACACCTAGTAATTATACAATTATTACTATTATCCCACTACACTATAATTATATTTATGAAGTACAAGTGACATTTCAATACATGTATGCATTGTGTCATGATCAGATAAAGATAACTGCCATATCTATCACTTCAGACAACATTATTTCCTTATATTTGGAACAGTCAAAATCCTCTCTACTAGTTATTATTAAATATTCAATTACTTGTCACCAACCATAGTTATACTGCTGTACTACAGAACACTAGAAATCATTCTTCCCATCCAACTTCTTTTGTACCCATTAACTATCCCCTCCTTATCCTCCTTCCACCACTTTCCCCAGGCTCTGGTAACCACTGTACTATTTTCTACTTCTTGAGATCTACAACTTTAGCTTCTACATGTAAGTGAGAACATGGCAGTGTTGGCCTTTCTGTGCCTGATTATTTCACTTAATCTCTTCCAGTTACACCCATGTTGCTGCAAATGTAAAATTTTTAAAAAGAGAAAAGAGATCCCATACAAGGAGTGGCATTAGCTTCCTCAACATCAATACTAGAAGCTAGAAGAAATAATACAATGTATCCTAAATTGTAGTGGAAAATTAATTTCAACCTAAAATTTTGTATTCAAATTCTCAAAAAATTGTGAGGGTAAAAATAAAGACATCTCAGTTGGCAAAACTCACAGAAAAGTTACCTCTCATGTACTTTTTCTCAGAAACCTTCAGGAGAACGTGCTTCATTGAAAAGAAGGAATATATAGGAAGAATGCAGCATAAATCAGGGGTATGTTTATAGAAAACCAAACAATTTTGAAACAAAAACATGGATAATATTAATTTAGGATAAGCAAAGAGTGAACCTCTCCATCCAAAAAACAAAGTATAGCATAGTTCAAATCAGCTGTAAATAAGAGTTTTATGGTCATAATAACAAACAGAGGTCACTGATTTGGCTGAGCATCATGATATAATTTTATTCAATAACTGAAGGGAGAGGATTGTGTATTCATTTGTGGTGTGGGAGAGATGCTGGGGAAGGTAATATAAGACAATAAATCCTCATCTTCTACAGGACATCAATAGATTGACCTTAAAAAGTGAAGAGATAGTGTAAATGTGGAGAAGAAAAAAATAGCTAGAACAGTTTAAATTGAGGGAAGAACCAAGATATGGAGGGAGAAGGGATGGAGATGAGAAAAGAATTAAGATGTATTATGTACATGTACCAACTCTCCACAATGAATGTAATCAATACGTACTGCAAACCTGTACTAACAAAAGAATTTTAAAAAGGATAGTAAAATGGGAGTGCCTGTATATGGCTCAAATAAAGACTGAGAGAAGGAGCTAGAAGGTATGAGGCAGGTTGTTGCTGCTTTTGCTTATGAGGACTGCAGCACTTGTCTTTTTCAACTGTTTCTATGTTGTATCTTCGGAAAATATAATTTAAGAAAAACTAAAATAAAAGAGAATCCAATGGGACTAAAAAAAATCACTTTTAGCTTTAAAACTTTGGATAATCACTGGAATTGTTTCTTTAACAAGACAAGGCACACGTGTAGCTCCCATCAGTAACCATTATTACTATTTTTTTAGTTCAAAATTTTCCATGAGTCAAATTACCTGTAATTTAGTAAAAGGTGCATGCAAAGCTTCCCTCCCCAAAGCCAGAATGTACAAACCAAATGTTTTCATTTCACCAATTTATATGAATTATACCATTGTAATTTTTTAAATTTTATTTTATTTTATTTTTTTTTTGGTACCAGGGATTGAACTGGGGACCTTGCGCTTGTGCAGCAGGCGCCGGAACCACTGAGCTAAATCCCCACCCCTATACCATTGTAATTGACATGCAACTTTTCAGGAACACACATAAAGTAAGTTTGATCTGCTGTGGAAGCAAGGATTATTCTTTTATCTTTTACGAGCTAGTAATTATGGAACTAAGGGTCTGAACTGAAAGAACAGACATAGTTTGTATGAGAGAAATTACCTGAAGAAAGTCACGAAGAACTGTACCAGGTCCATAAAATTGCTGTGCTGGGAGAAGGCGATCTGTGGCAGAAAAACAGGTGGTGAGTTATTTAGGTTATAAAATGCACTGGTGACTCAGCCTGCTCGTTTCAAGAGATGAGCTAAAAGACAGACTTTAACCAGGCATGGTAGCACACTTGGGGAGGCTGAGGCAGGCTGGGGAGGCTGAGGCAGGAGGATTACAAATTTGAGCCCACCCTAGTCAATTCAATGACTTAGCGATATCCTGTCTCTCTCTCAAAACAAAGACAGACTTTACGTTTTAAAGACATTAATTTCACTCACAGCAAAGTGCCTTAGTTTCTTTTCTTGTCTCATTGTCAACCCAAAAGTGTAATAGTCCTAGGTCTCCACACCACTTCCTACAGCTCCCCTCTTTAGACCCCAAGCTCTTCCACTGAACCTTGATGGCTGACAGTGTCAAGTCAGTCTGCCCATTCCCACCCTGTACCTCCCTTGGACACAGTGCTCCCCTCTTTTGTTCCAAATACCAACTCCTGGATCTACCTCAAGGCAGGCAGCCTTATTTTATGGCCTTCATTGCTTCAACATGTGTGTAATGACAACATAGTGCCCTATTTTTTTTTTTTCTTGGTGCCGGGGATCGAACTTGGGTCCTTGCACTTGCGCAGCAGGCAGCGAAACCACTGAGCTAAATCCCCAGCCCTAGTGCCCTATTTTTTAAAAAAAATTGTGTTTCAGGTTTTGCTATATTAACTATATCTGACAATATGTTATCAGTTCAAACTTAAGTAATTTTACTATTACTTTAACAGTCTTTATACCAAAAATATAAAAGATCCTTACAGCAACTAATAAGACACCAATGACTAAAAGCAGCAAAATAATTTTGTGTGCTATTAAGAACATTGCCAGTTAAACTATGACAGAATTCTTTCTAAATCATTGGCTGTGAGATGCATATTACAAAGACACTAGAATATGAAGAAATGTGTGCCTCAGAATTGATTAAATAAATATGATAATTGTAGCCTTGTTATCACTTACAATATAACCACTACTGGCCAGATGCCATCGTGCTTTTTTAGAGGATGCAGTCCTCATTGGAGTGACAATGGTATATGCTGAGTATCCCTTGCCCAAAATGCTTGGGACTAGAAGTGTTTCAGATTTCAGCATTTTTTGGGTTTGGGAATATTTGCCTAGACTCTACTGGATGAGCAGTCCTAATCTGAAAATTCAAAATCTGAAATGCTCTCAAATCTCAAACTTGTTAAAATAAATTTGGGATTTTTAGATTAGGGATAAATGAAACAATTACTGAATAAGGTGATAATTGTTCTATCACAGACAATAAATATAACAAGAATGAGGAATATTCATGTTTAGCACTTTTTTTATTGTTTGGGTGCTGGGGATTAAATTTAGGTCTTCATGAATGTCGGGCAAGTGTTCTACCATGGGGACACACCCCCAGCCCTCTTAAACTCTTGTCACAGCAACAATGAGGCAAAAGGGACACTTCTGCTGTTTGCTTTTTCTTCTTTCTCTGGAGACAGGTCTCACTATGTAGTTCAGGCTATCTTTGGCCTTATTATGTAGCCAAGACTGCTGCCTTGAATTCACAGCAGTCCTCCAGCTTCAGCCTCCCAATATAGGCAGGTACCACTACACCCAGCTCTCCTGTTTGCATTTTAATGTTCTTCTCCTTATTTTGAGACATGCAGACCTGGCCTCACACCATCTGCCTAATGCCATTTGTGATGGCACAGAAACTATATCCCCGAGCTCTAGGGAGAACCCCAAGGCCAGCTAATGCCCTCTCTGCCCACTCCCAGCCTCCCATCTCAAGCCTGCTCTGTGCCTGTTATCCCTAATTTCCTCCCAGCCACTCCTTCTCACCACCATCCAGAATTCTTATTCTATTTTATCACAGTTATTACTACTTTAAAAATCACCATAGAATTCTATACACTAATTGAAATATCAAAAAGTGCTAAAAGGTTAATCACAGTAAGAGATGATCTTTGCCCCTTCTCTCTTCTTATGGCCTCTCTCCAGAGGTCCCTACTTTTAACTAGTTTTCTTTTCTGTTCTTCCAAGAGTTACCTTTTTTTAAAAAAAGTTTTTATTTTGAGATAGAGCCTTGCTAAGTGGTTACACTGCCCAGGCTGGGCTTGAACCTGTGATCTTCCTGCTTCAGCCTCCCTGAGTGCTAGGATTACAGACTTGCACCACCATGCCTGGCTGGGAGTTTCTTTATTATCACTGAGGTTTTTATTATTATTTCTTATTATTACTATTGTATTATTATTATTGTTATTGTTATTGTTATTATTTGCAGTGCTAGGGATTTGAGCCCAGGGCCTCACAAATGCTGGGCAAGTGCTCTACCACTGAACTATATATCCAGCCTGTCATTTCTTGATCTATACATTCTAGGCACCCTTTACTGACTTCCTACTGTAAGGGAAGGTGATTTAGGCCAACCCCTCTCTTCCCTCAATAAGGTTACATCACTGCTTAGTGCCTCCATTAGTTTCTGTGTTGTTATTCTGAGGGTGATGCTGACAGAAAGATGCCAACAGATAGGAAATGGACACAATACCCTTGAATACGGGGAGAAAATGTGTCTGTTTCCACAAAGAGCTGCAGGAGCAGAAGACAATGCAGCTATGGCCTACTGAAGTTCAGCTTCCCAGGCCTCGTGGCCCCCAGGGAGAAGCCCTTGGGATACTAATGAGTGGCTGAGGGGAGGTAAAAGCAGGAGACTTCCTTTAGCCACTCTCACCTAGAGGGGTGGACAGGCTGAAGGAAAGGGCCTTTGTGCCTGCTCTCTGAATGTTCTAGAGACTGTCCACCAGCAGCCAATAAAACCTGAATGTAAAACCCTAGAACAGTGCTGTGTGCCTCCAGTACAGGAAAACAGAAAGGTCAGTCCCAGGACTCATGGGGGACTCAGAAACTGAGTCATAAGACCTCAGCTGGAGCAGCCCAGCAGAGGCAGATTTAAAGATGGTATAAAGATACCATCTTTAGGAGGGAAAATAATATACTGCACTACCCTCACACCTTTATTTCTTTTTCCATTTTCCATCCCCTGTATTATCTTTTTTTCATTTTTTAATATAGGAAATTTTAAATTAAAAAAAGTAGAGAGACTGGAATAATGAGCCCCAAACATTCATCACTCACTTTTAATATTTATCAGCTTATGGCCAATCTTGTTTCATCCATATTCCACCCACTTCTGCCATGATTGTATATTTGGGAGCAAATCCCAGACTTCTTATTGTTTTACTCTTACCTTTATTAATATAGATAGTGTCTTTTAACTACCCTCTTTCTAAATTAGGACATTTGGGTCCTCATCTCTCCCTTTTCTTCTACTTTCTACTTCTTTAGACAAAATTCCAACCTAGAACAATTCAAGACAAATTCTTAGTCTCCATCCTCACCTAGCCCTTAGTACTGGTCAGCAGTTATTCTGACATTATCAGAAAAAACTGCCAGCACCTACACAAAAGGATAAATATTGCAAAAAAGAATAAAGTTTGATACCTACCCTAAAGCTCCTGTACCAACAAAATGCATCTCTCAGGTACACCTTTATAGTGTCTCTACAGCAAATTCTCTATGCTGTGACACTAAGGACACAGAAACATAAAATACGTCCTTACCAGTAAGGAAATGTTTCTGAGTCTAGGCTGTGGGACACAGGATGGAGAAGTCACTATGGGAGCTGCCTGAGGGGTGTCAGGGGTACCCTTTTCCTGGGTTTCTACATAAGAATTCTGTCTGGACTTCCTGACTCTGGTCTGGCTTCTTCCAAGCCATACTTTCAACGACTACCACAAAGGTCTCTCTAAAACATGACCTGTGGTTCCTTCTCAGCTTAAAACATTTCAGTGACTCCCAGTTGTTTTCAGACTACGGTTCACACCCCCGAGCTGAACCAGTCTCCTCATGACAGGTCTGCCAGCTCTCAGCTCCTTGCTCACAAGTACCATCAGCTCTGCTAAACTCTGGGCAGGTTGAACACCTCCACTCTCTCTCCCTGTTAACACCCCACTTTCTCTCCTCACGGTAAACACCCCCACCCTCCTGCTTCATGTTCCTTAGGACTCAGCTATGGTGTGGCTGCTCCTCACTTAGACTCAGGGGAACAAATCTCTCCCCTCTCACGGGTCTCAGGAACACAGGAGCACACCTTCGATACCAACACCGACAGACCACACTTGTGGCTGCTGCTCTGGGTCAGAAAGGGTGCAGAGTGTGCAGTATGTGAGTTTTAGGGAATTCTGGCTGGTTCCTGGCTATGGCAATCACAGGAGGGAGGTCTGTTGGAGATGAAGATTTATGTGTTCTAGCCAGGGGCAGTGTGCAAATGGAGAGGAATATCCAAGAAGACAAGGTTCAGACAAAATCCAAGGGAACAATGACATTAAAGAGCTGAGAAGAATCAGCCAAAGACACAGGTGAAAGCAGGGAGACCTTCAAGAAGGATAATAAATTTTTCTTGATGATGAAAACCACAAGGCAAGGTAAGTACTTTATATATATTTTGAAACAAAGAAAGACGTATAGTTTAGTTTTAAATATATTTCAATACTTTACAATTTTAAAAAATCTTAAGGTTCAGCTATCTTAACACCAGAAAGTATATATGTGTACATGATTGTAAATAAACATTAAAATAGGAATAAATATAAACATAAAAATGTGTCTTGGGGCTAGCTTGGTGGTAGAGTGCTTACCTAACAAGCATGAGGCCCTGGTTTCAATCTACAGCAACACACACAAAATAAATAAATAAATAAATGTACATGTGACATTACTCACAATAGCTACAAAGTAAAAACATCCAAGTATTCATCAACAGAAATGGGTAAACAAAATGTAGTCCAGATATCCAATGAAATACTTATTATTCTGCTTTGCCAAGCAAGGAAGTCCTGAAACATTCAAATACGAACCTGAAAACATTATTATGCCAAGTGAAAGAAGCCAGTTGTGGAGCACCACATATTATGCAATTTAATTTACACAAAATGCCCAGA